ATATGCCACTGAATTATGCGAATACCCCAGAAAAATCCCTTCATCAGCTTTAGCTTGAAATTTCAATAGGTTATCCCTAAGATTCATAATAAAACACCTGCATCCAAAGACATGAAATAATTTTACATTAGGTTTCCGATTATTTAGAATTTCGTAAGGTGTAATATTAAAACGTCGAAGAATGAAAGATATGTTCTGAGTAAAACACGCAGTGGATATAGCCTCATCCCAAAGATACTGTGGTAAGTTCGCATATGCCAACATAGTCCTTGCAGCTTCGCATAAAGATTGATTTCTTCGTTCAACAACATCATTTTGCTGTGGAGTGTATGGAGAAGAAAAATTATGCGAAATTCCTTTTTCCACTAAAAATGAATCAAGAACATTATTTTTAAACTCAGTTCTATGATCACTCTTGATTTTGTGAACAAGCTTTTTCAAGGTAATTTCCATTTTCTTGATAAAGTAAATCATGATTTGTGTCACTTCGGATTATAATCTGAGAAAATAAACCAATGTGAATCTGGAAAAATCATCAACAACAAGTATGATATACCATTTGTTGCTGAGAGTTGAAATTATCGAAGGACCACATAAATCAATATGTAAAAGCTCCAGTGGTTCGACAATATATTAATCAATTATGATCGGATGACCTTCTTTATGTTGCTTGCCAACTTCACAAGTTGCACATAAAGAATCATTATCAAATTTAAGTATAGGTAATCCTCTTACCAAATCTTGCACCACAAGTTTGTTGATATTTCTGAAGTTGAGATGTGAAAGTCTTCGATGCCATAGCCCGCTCGGATCTGATGTAGCTTTGGAAATAAGACATACAATAGGTTTACCCACAATTGGATTGATGTCCAAAGTAAACATGTCAGCCTTCGGTTTGGATTTCATCAAAACTACTTTTGTGTAAACATTCAAAATAATGTTTCCTTCTTCGTTAAAAAGTACTTGATTTCCAGCGCCTACCACAAGTTGTGATACACTTATCAAGTTGTGTTGTAAACCTTCAACATAACCAACTTGATTCATTGTGAATTGACCATTCGTTATTTTCCCATAATCTTTGACTTGACACTTTTGATTATTACCAAACTTAACAACTCCAACATTTTTCAAGCTTCAAAAGTCTCAAAGATTCTCCTTCTTCCCAATCATGTGACGAGAGCAACTACTATCGATGTACCATTTATTATCATATTGCTCGTCACAAACTTGCGATCATTGACATAATTTAGGTACCCAAGGCTTTTTAGGTCCTAGGAAATTGGATTTTAGCAAAGATTTGAAAGAATAACTGTTGACTAAATCACAACCTTTAGGTTTAAGACTATTAATAATGTCCACATCTTCATTTGTAGGGATTGGAACATAAGGTTTTGTTTGTTTCGTATGGATACTGACATCACCCTTCGCATTCTGAGTTTGTGATTGTTCGGTCTTCACTTTTGTGACTGGTTTGCATGCTTTTACCAAGATATTCGAATCCTTTGATGATGAACTTCCATTTGAAGAAGTATTTACATACTTCTCATAAGCTTCGTTGATTTTAACTTTCGAATATTTGCTTGATTGATAAATTCTTCCTCTTCCTTCGAGCCAGTGATCACTATTCTTTTGTGAAGTTATCCCTTTTTCATGCGAAGCTTTCAATGTTTTTTTCTCCGTATGATTAGGAAAATTTGGCTTTTGAGGAACAAAATCAATTTTTGGTTTTGAAACAAATGATTCAGCATAGGAAGTATCAATTGTTAATTTAAAATGATGACGTTGAGCAAAAAACTTTGGTGAATTAGAATTCAATGAATTTCTACAATCTTGCTTGAAATTTTAGGTGTTGACACTTTCGAAAACTTTGGTGTTGTTTTCACTTCAAACTTAGTATGAGTTTTTGGACGATAAACTTGTTGTACTTTTGAAAAATGACTTTTTCACTTTGAAAATATATTTTGGGGATTTTGATTCAGACCCTTTTTTTCTTGAATGAGCATGATTTTTCTTTTTGTCTAAATAATTCTCTGATTTCACAGACTTAACTGATTTTGACAAATCAATTGACGTTTTTCTAGACTCGATTGTTTGCCAAAATATTTTATTTCTTGCTTTTCTTTTTGAAACATTATTTTATTTCTAAAAATTTTCAATTTTTTCTTTAAGTTCTTTTGAATTTAATTTGACCCCACTTTTCGTTTTCTCAAAATTTGGTTTAGTGACTTCTTTCTTAGGTTATGATTTTTCAACCCATTTTCTCTGAGATTTTTGTCATTGGAAAACATATGAATTCTTTGTCAGGTTGTTTTCAACCGTGCTTTGATTTGCAAAGAACCTTTCATCTGATGTTTTCAAATTGTGTTGTTCCACCAATTTCTTAAATTCTGGTTTGACATTTTCAATATTTCCAGTTGTTACGACCACTTGGTTTGGAAACACAACATCGTCTATACACTTGAAAATTGGATACACCACAATATTTGTTTCAAGGTAATGAGCACCTTGTTCTTTCAATACTTTTTCATACTTTTGTGTATCGCCATACACCTGGTCAACTACGATTCGAGGAATTTCTTCATTCTTCGAAGATACCTTTTCCTTCGAATGTTTCTCATCTTTTTCATCATCACTATCATATGTTTGACTGTCTCTAATTTCCACAAAGTCCAAATCACATACATTCGAAGTTAAGGGTTGTTTAGTATCATTCTTAACCAACAAATCATTAACTTTTTCTTTCCCTTTAGATGAAGATGCAACTTTAATAATAGACAAATGAGAACAATCAACATCCTCAAGATCACTAATTTCACTGATATTGTCAGAATTATCTTCAATATCAGCAAAATTAGATTAAACATCAGATGTTGAAGTTTTAGTCTTTTTCAAAATGTGAATTTGCTCTGACTTAGTCAAAGTATCATTTACAATTTCAACTAATTCAGTAGCATCAAGACATTCATCTACTTTGACTATTCTATATTTATATCTATCATCAGGAACTTTGTAAAATTCAATTATTTCTTTCTCACAATCATACGAAATATTATCTACCTATATCTTTCGTAAGTTAAAAAAGGCAATAACTTTCTATGTTCTTCTTTACTTACCTCACAAGAATGATGTAACTGGGTTAATTTCCCATACAATCACTTAGCTGAATTACAGTAAATGTTTCTTTGTGCTAATAATAATTTTATTTTACTTGACAAGTTATCCCTATCAACCATAATGTTTGTAATCTGAAGTTCTAAACAATCTACATTCGTGTTTTTCAAATCTAACTTCTTCTCTGTCTCTAACAACTGCATAAAAAGCTTCTTAGCCTCATTGCTAGCAGACACCACAATTGAATCAAAATAAGTAACAGTTTCATCAAAAGATACCAATTGAGGATTATAAGCATGTACTGGAATATTAAAAGATTCAAGAATATTACATCCCTTTGTTGTCATTGGAGATTTATCTGCAACCTTTGATACGAAGCATCTTCCTTTTACTTCATATTCTTCCTCATCAGATTTGTCCTCCATCTTCGCAAACATTGCTCCATGTGTTGGATTTCGCATCACCTCATCATCTGATCCAGATGACTAGACTTGATAAGTTCCATCATCTTCTTGTTCTCTCATGGCAACCAATGACAAGTTTTTCGCCTTCGCACGAACCTCTTCCGGTCTTTCAACATAATAAGCTTCATCTTTTACCTTATTCTTCTTCCCATCTTTCTTCCTCAACATGCAATCATTAGATAGAGATTAGCCCCATTACAGTAGTGCAATGTACTCCAACGTCTCCCTTCAACTTCTTCTCCATCTTTCCCTCAAAAATCTTAGCATCCTTCTTCTCTTCCTTCTTATGCTCATCACTTGCAGTTTTATTCACAAAACTTCCTTTAATCTCAATTGAGTTGATCTTCGAATTGAATGGATTTTTAAAGAAATTTTTGACATGATTGTTTGAATAAAATGCTATCGCTTCATCATCAGAATTCATGATGAATCCCTCTTCTCCATCATAATCACTTTTCTCATGAACTTCTTTCTCATTCATTTTTGAAACCAAAGCCAATGGACCTCCCAAACTCGCCTTCATTTCTTTAGCCATTTCGTTCACTTCATTTTCGTGTGATTTTAACTGATTGTACACATCATTTAAAGTTGACGTATCAATTCTCTGTTGATTTTTGACCAACATGCTGCCATTTCGCCACTCCTTTCTCAGACCCATAACAAAGATAAGATTGAACTCCATGACTGATCAGGTGATTCCATATCGGTTGCATCGATAGATCAATTCATTCAGACGATCGTAATACGCCTCAATAGTTTCACTTTCTTTATGTTTGAAGTCTTTAAATTCAACCAAGCATTGTTTCACGTAATTAACTCTTGTCTTCTCACTTCCTTGAAATTTCTCCGTTAGATTGTTCCAGATTTCCTTTACGGTTTTACAACTCCTCACATAGTTGTAAACAACAGGAGGCAAAGCTCCTCGTAGCTCTCTCATGCATCTCTTCTCCATCTTTTTCATGCGTTCAGTTTGATTCTCTACTCCAGAACTTGCAGAAGACGCTCTAAGTGGTTGAACATTTGATGGAGGATTGATTTTTCTAGAAATACAAGTGCACAATTCATCATCTAAACCATTGAGATAATCCTCCATATGATTATCCCACTGATCGTAATACTCAGTGATTAGCATTGGAATTTTTGTTGATGACCCCAACAAATGAGAGAATGAAGTCATGGAATTAAGATTGAATGACGCCATTGTTGTACGGAAGAAAACTTTGAGAATTTTGAAGACAATATGAGTTTTTTAACAGAAAACTAGTTGAATCAAATTGAAATAACTAGGAGAACACTCGATCGAACAATTCAAGTGCATAATCGAATCACATACTTAGATCCAATGAACCTTTCACTTTTCAAAAACTACGGAAACTTTTAAGCCAAAAAATTAATTTAAAAACTTTTGAAAGAATGAAAATCAGATCAGAGATATGATTCCTGCTCTGATACCAATTGTAGAATCTAAGAATCAATTTTCAATATTAATCAGAGTATGTAATCAGAAATTGTATGAAAGATTGAACACCGATGTAAATAAGATCTTGATTCAGCTCAATATTACGCTTTAGGTTTACAGAGTGCAAAAGTATACAAGACTGTAAAAACCTTATCTAACTCTAGTAAAGACTCCTATTTATATGAGAGTAAAAGGGTACAAACAATATACTAAGGACTAGACATCAAAGCTTCGAATAATATGCCTTAGTAAAATAGATAACAAAACATACAAAGAGTACATATAAGAATTCGACTCTTTACAACCAAACTACCCTTACATAAAGAAACTTACTTTATGTTGATCTGATATGACTACCAAGCCCCTTCCATCAATAAGGTCTAGATCTCCAATGAGTAGCTCAAGGAACCAAGTCCAGTTGGACTTATTTTCCACATCAACAACAGCCCACGCAATTGGATAAACCTGGTTGTTGGCATCTCTACCAATGGTTGTTAGCAGTTCACCCTTCACCTGCCCATTTAGAAAGCACCCATGAAGCCCAAGTACTCCCCTACATCCTCTTTACCAGCTAACACTTAGTTCTTTGAAACAAATTTAAAACTTGTGAAAATAATTCTTTTCATCTGGATTGTTTGTTACACCAACTTGACATGTGGACCCCAAGTTTAACCTTAACAATTCATTGGCATAATCCCATATCGTTGCATAATGCTTAGTGAGTTTACCTTCTATTAAATTTTTAGCCCATTTCCTTTCCCTTCTAACTTGTCCTATAGATACCACACACCTATACTTTTGTCTGGTGTCATCAATCATTTCCTGAAGTTTCATATTTGGCTTATTTGCAATTTCAGTTAAATAATGTCTTCCAATCCATTCAGGGGACACAATGGATTCAAACTTAAACTACCTAGAACATTTATGGTCACTATTTATAGCTTTAATCTGAAAAGATCTTTCTTTGTACATCCATGCAACATAAATTTTTAAACGACATTTATTCTCTTCGTTCCTATTTCCATATCTAGCTACAATTCTTTTATTATCACATTTTTCAAAGTATATTCTATTGCCATGTGAGACTGCATAATTTGTGACACAAAACTTTAGTTAGGAAGGGGATTCAAAGATGTCACCAAGCTTTGGTACGATCTTGTACCACCTTATTATTGGGTCATGAATTCTATAGTTGTTTTTCAATACCTCTTGTTCATCTTCATCACTCTGCCAATCAGTAGCATGGTACACTTCCGCTCTGATTTCATCCACCATACTAGAATTTCGTAGGTTTTCATCACTTAATAGAACATTTAGGAATATATCCTTACATTTATCAAGTGAGGACACAAATTCTTCCTCTGGTTCATGGTCCATGTAAATGTCATGGAGTTCAAAATCCATTTCACTCAAGCCAATGAATGGCTCATGTATGCCAACAAAGGGGTCAGCATACCCTTTGTCCGATGAAGCCATTACACCCTCCTACATCAACACACTAACTTTAGGAACACATTTCAAGAAATGTTGAATGTAAATGTAATTTCAGTCAACCTGTAAAAACCATACCTTTTGAAGAAATGTTAAAGAACACTTTTAACCTAATCATCTCAAAGAAAACCCTTTTTTTTCTCTGTGTATACAGTCGATGAAATGGGAAAAGGTGAAGAGTGATCGAATAATAGAGCGAGATGAGATGCGACAGTTTAACGTACAGAACGGGATTGGAGATTTTTCCAAACGACGTTAATTAGCCTTCCACCTAAGCAAGTGGTAACCGGTTGATTAAAGGGAAACCAACTACTTGGCAAAAACAACACATTAAATGCAAGTTTAAGGCAAAAATGGACCTACATTTGAACTTTGGGCAAATATGTCAATTTTGTGCAAATATGAGGGTTTTTATGCCATTAGCGCTTAGACTTATTCATACCTTAATTAAACTAAATTTAACAGTAAGAGAACTAGAGAGTGAAATTTGTAAAGAGATGTAAAAAGGGAACTATTATTTTCGTTCATCGGTTGTATCATGGAATTCAGGGTCATCTTCTACATTATCAGTTATTGCCACCACAACCACACACTCACCAGTAGTAGTGACATCTTTCTTACTGGGATATCTCCCAACCATCATTAGCCACACATAGTGACGGATACAATAATTGCTAACATTCTACCACCTTCAGTCACCCTCATCCATCTTTATCGAGCATTTTGCCTTGCTTTAGTTCCATCAATAACAACCACCAAGAATTAGTTTCCATATTCATCTTCTAAAATATTCAAACCAGTTTACACATTCCAGGTTTCAAATCTAAAGTCAGTTCTTGTGACATCGCCATTTTCACAGCCAGAAAAGACCAATTTTGTTTATGCTTTATGAAAACCAGAGTATCTCTTTCAATAAAAACATTACGGAATTTGTTCCTACAAAAACATGATAATTTCATTATCAAATCATTTTGAAGAAATGTATTATAATTCACTATAAAACATTTGGGATGTCATCGTCAATACCGAAACATAAGCATAAACAGAACTGACATTAATTTACACTAGTGATCTATATCTCCTTAATCAATGTAATGTAACATCACCTCGTCACCTGTGATACAAGTAAACTGAGTGGTTCAGGTTGGGAAACTAGGTGACTACATAGGGTTTTCAACCCACAATAATATAATTATTTTGTTTAATCATGAAACAATTAACCCAATTACCCATCCCCATTATCTTCTTTATTCCTAAGTACCTTCTCTAAGGATTTATCCTAAGGGTCGTCTCCTACATCATTGCATGAATACATAGTTACAACATTGCTTGAACTTGTAATTCATAGTAAGGGGTCAGAGTATCATCGCATGAATACGTAGTTACAACATCGCCTGAACTCGTAATTCATCACCAACAGGTAATGAGCCTACTGGTGTTTCCACAGGGTTGTCCATAATAGTTTGTGGTCGCCATCTATACTCTAGTAGATGACTACATCTCCAAATTGTCAGACAAGATTATACTATCTTTAATCCTACATCACCGATTCATCATCACCTATCTACCCTCACCTAATTATTATCACCTATCTCTCATCATTTTATTTCATCACACATCAACTTTTTCATCTACCCATGTTTTATTCCAACATATTTGTAGATATAAAGGAAATATATAGTTTAAATCTTTTAAAACATGTAAAAAATCATTCATGCAACATAGAAAGCAAGTATCCAGATAATATGCACAGATGATGCGTAATTTATATCAAATACTTCATATCTATGTATAAGATGAAATTAACTATGCACTCACAACACGTAATTTATATTAAATACTTCATATCTATGTGTAAGATGAAAGTAACCATGCACTCACTTGTTAAAGTGGTGATTCTAAACTCGGACAGCGCTTCGCTTCTTAACAATCTAATATCTACCGTGAGTGCATGGTTACTTCGCTTCTTACCACTAGATTTTAGTCTAATATCTACCGTGACTAATTATTAGTATTAGCATTCTTATTATTATAAGGTCCTAATAACATTACTATATTTAAAAAAAATCTATATTAGAAATAGTGTAGGCGTAGCTCACTTACAACGGGTTTTTGTTAAAAAACTGGGCTTTGCTGCAGCAGCATTTCCGAGCTAAAAGCTTTTCTTCTCGGATCCGTTGGGCGCTCTTGGGCTTCCTTCTCGTGCTAGGGAGGTTCCCTAGACTTGGGAGTGGTTTAGGGAGGCTAGAGAGATGTTAGAGAGAGAAAGAGAGGTTATTGTGTGAAAAAATATGAAAGATTCATCATTTATTTATAGTGATTTTATCGTAGAGTAGTCTCTAAGCTTCGTCCGTATCTTTCGCGTACAAGATTTGTTTTCTATGTAATTTATATCAACGCGTTGCTCTTTACGATTACTACAACTTCCATTCAGACCCCATTAGCTAATTCTCATTCTATCTCAGAATTAGAAAACTATATTGAATTTGCTGCGCCCGAAGAGTAGAGACTAAGCTTCGTCCATATCTTTCGCATACGAGCTGCGTTTTCATCTGTCTTTTTATAGTTTAACTCCTATTAACAATATCTTCATATCTCTTTTAGATTATTTTGGCTGAAAATCGACCGATCTAAAATTCGAATTTTGGGTTGTGCACTACTATGCTAAATCTTAGAAAAATCATGACTTCATCGTACGAAGTCAGATTTGGACGTTCTTTTTATGCACGCTCTCAGTTTAACATATACTATGAATTTTGTCTAGATTGCTAAGGCTAGAAAGTATTTTGTCGTAAATTCACTTCGACGGATCATAACTTCTTCGTTATAACTCGGATTTCGGCATTCTTTATATGTATAGAACCTTTGTGACATATACTATAACTTGGTTAAGATTATTTATTATAAACAATGTTCTATCAAAAAGTCATTTTTGATGCTTATTGTCTCTAAAGTGACTAGCCCGGATCTACGGGCGTTAAAGTTCATGTCTTCATCAGAATTAGAGAAGGGGGTGGAACTACCATTTAAGATTTACAGAAGTGGGTGGAATTGGAGAAAAAGAAGAGACACATAGTTAGGGTTGGGGAGAAAGAAGATGCACAAATATCATTTAGTGGGTTCTTTGGTGGTTGTACTTTTTCATCACTAATTTAAATAACAATCAAAATTAGTGGGTTCTTTTGCAGGTTTGAGATGGAGTAAATGAAACTAAAATCTTAGATGCCTTGGTGGGCTCCTTTCTAGTATATATCTGATTCCATTTGAGATACATATGTTAGGTTTTGTTTTAGCTAAACATTTGATAAACAATTTGGGTTTTGTGACCTCAATTTCAGTTGTATTTATATTTCTTTATATATGTTTTTAAAGATATAACAGAGAACAAATTAGGGAAAAGATAGTGGGCTTTAATTATGGAAACATAAAAAAAATCATGTTTTAGTTTCTATGATGAAATTTATTGAATATAAAAGTTTTCAGTTCCTTTTATGTGTTTTCAAACCTACAATAAACCTAGATGAATCTGGTGTGTTTGTGGAACAAATGAAGGTAGGTCTAGCAAGAATAAGATGTCTTAGGGTTTTATATTCTTTTTTCTTTGTAGGGGAGGGAAAGAGAGGTGGGACATTTTATTTTTAATTATAAAAATTATTTAGTAAGTAATAAATCTTTTAAGAAAATGGAAAAAAATACTCAAAGGGAATAACAATCATTTCAATATTCAGAAGGACCAAATACGCAACAAAACTATCTCAAAATGACCACCAATCCAAAAAAATCGGGGTTTGGATCAAAACCCAGAAAAAATGCATACAACAGGGACCATTTTTGCAGTTTTATCTTTTTAAAGTCATCTCGTATCCTTTAAATGACATTCTAATAGTACCTTAAATTAATTTGTTATTTCTTAATATTGTTATTGTTTTTTTATTACGTTGTAATCGAGTTTTGATCTAATATTTTAAACTAATGTTTGTATTTCTAAAACTAATGTTAGTAATTTTAAATCTTAAGTTTTATGTCAAAAAAAGAGAAAAATCAACCTATAAAACATGTATTGCTAGAAACGAAACACATATCACTACTAGAAAACAGCCCTTTAATGACATACAAGCAATGACACACGCTGATTTATAACACTTATATTTTTGCGTGTCCTAAAAATAATGCCAGTTTTCCAAAATTTGAAGGATAGAGGACATGTATTTGTGCGTGCCTTAAAATTAGTGTTAGAAATGAAAAGAAAACATGGAGGGTGCCTATGAGAAAATGCATGTCATATAAACATGTCGCTTTATAGTTTTTTTATTCAAACGCACGTTCGTCCATTCTCTTTAGGGAGAAATGAAGCATCCAAAGGGTGGACGATTTCAAGGGAGACTTTCATTAGTCGACTCACAAACACTATGTTAGGGTTTCTCTGCAAGTACAAATCACCACAATTTTATATGATAATTTCAACTTAGTTGTTAATGGCTATGACTTGCCTCTCCTCTTCTCTACATACCTAATTATGACATCTACATGTACAAATCACTCTATTGTTGACTCAAATTTGTCCAATTTCTTTTGAATTTTTAGATTGTTGAGTAGAACGTGAAGGAAGTAGAGAGCATCAAGTATGATTTGTCGTGAATTTTTGTTTTGCTTACAAGCCCTAGGTCGATTTCAAGAAGTATCTCATTATATTCAATGAAGTAGGTCTGATTCTTTTCTTCTGGCTGAACTAAGGTATGTTTTGCCTACCAATATTCATGTAATTTCTTTCCATCCACAACAGCTATTAGCTAGGGCATAGTTCATGAATGGTGGACTGAATAGTATGAGGTATAAGGGTAAATTTCATGTAATAGCGTATACACACAACCCATTTGATCAAATACCTCTTTGAAGTGGTAACTTTATTGGTTATAATATTGTGATTATTGAGTCCTTATTTGGAATTATTATTGGTTTTGTAACGACCATAAAATTTCAACCAA